AGTGCGAGCCGTTCTTGCGGTCCGGGTGGAACTGGAGCGACCGGAGGCGATACGCCTGCTGGATCTGCTTGTCGGTCGCGTCGCACGTGACGCCGAGCACGACGTAGTGGTCGCTCTCCTAACCCGTCCATGCATTCGCACTCACTCCTTCGAACAGCAGCGGGGGGCCAAAGACGTGGTCCTCGCTCTCCGATGCGATCCGCTCCACCTCCCCCTCGCCCCCTCGGCCGGGCGGCGCCTGTTCACACCGACAGCTGTGAAGAGGGACACGCGACCCTCCTCCTCGCACCCGCGGCCGGCGCCGCTGAAGGGCCGTCCCCCCTCGCCCCGCCTCCGCCTCCTCCTCCGCCTCCGTCGCTTCGGCTCGAACTAAACGACCTTCTGCCGCTGCCGCGCGACCCGTGGCCGCGGGGCGGCCCACCGCCGCCGCCTGCAGCAGCGAGATGTGGGGAGATGTGGGGAGATGTGGGCGGCCCAGTCGCCGCCGCCTCCTCCCTCGCCGTTGCGCCGCTGGGCGGCGTGCGCGCGGAGCAGCCAATCCGAGAGGCGAGGCCAGTCGCGGTCCACACGGTAGAGGGCCTGATAGGGGGAGATAGGGGGAGATAGGGGGAGATAGGGGGAGATAGGGGGGAGATATGGGTCCACACGGTAGACGGCCTCGAGAGCCGCGATTGCGTCGGAAGGCTGACCGGCCTACGCGCTTAAAGCGCCAACCTCGTGGCGGGACTGCGGTATGGCGCAGAGTCTTCAGAGCACCGCGTGAAGACGAGGGGTTAGGCATGCAGCGTGCACACAGCGGAATACGGTCGAACTTAGCGGAACCCTTCCCCTCTCGAGCGCCGGCTGGAGTACAGGAACCCGTCTTCTGCTTCTAGAGTTGCCCAGCCTCGAGCAAGCTCGCGCCCTTGCGGAAGAGCGCGCGCCCAAACCGCGGTAGCAACAGCAACGCGCAATCGCACTCGGCGACAGCGTCGGCCGGCCTCTTGTCGCGCCGCAAGCAAGCGGCGATGTTGGCGTGCCTAGTTCACCGCCAGCTGTGAGCAGACGCCGTTCACAGCCTCACCGCCAGCCGGCGACGGCGGCGTGCAGCGCGGCGCGGCAGTGCAAGTCGTCGGCCAAATGCGACGCGAGGGCGGCGAGGGCGGCGCGGTACGCCTATGCGGAGATGTGGGGAGAAGTGGGGAGATATGGGGAGATATGGCGAGGGCGGCGCGGTCCGCCGATGCGGCGGCGTCGAAGCGGCCGCGCTCGTAGAGGTCCATTGCGACCGCCTGGCCGAGAGATGGGGAGATCTGGGGAGATCTGGGGAGATCTGGGGAGAGAGCAGTGCCCCGTTGCCACCGCCTGCTGCCGCTCCGCCGTCCTCGCCGCGCGCAACATCGACACCGCGACCGACGATGCCCACGACGAGCCCGCTGCGGCCGCGGAGGCTGCGGAGGCGGCGGAGGCGGCGGCGGGTTCCGAAGTCGTCAAATGCCGAAGCCGGGGTCCGGGGGCGGGGGC